GATTTACTGCAAGCCTCATATAAACGTGCGAGACGTGATTTATCTTCGAGGGTAGTGTATTTGACAGCGCGAGTACCAATTTCTATAGTTACCGCGCGCAACCGCGATGCTTTTTTTTTAACACGGTAATGATACTAACAATAAGTGATAATTACGAACGAAAGAAACACTATCTCACGCTACGTTCGGCGAAAGCTGCGGCGACTCTCGTCCCAGCCCCCGTCTCTCTTTCTCTATCTCTCTCTCGCTTTCCACCAGAAAGTGGGACCATTAATTTCCATTAACCATCGACAAAACTCGCCCATCGACACCGCCGGGCACTGACAACTCCAGAGAAGTCACGGGAATGGGGAATAGAAGCTAAATGGCGCGCGTATGTGTAGAGGCACACACGTACATGTTGGAGAATGCATACATAAAGCCGTGACTCGTGTGGGACTTTTGCCTTTGTCGCGTATTTTTATCCGGCTCGTATAAACCAATAATTCCCTGGCAAAAACTGCTCCTACGGGAAACGGCGGGAATATGAGTACAGGTGTAGTGGAGGAAGGGGAAAGGGGCGAAGGGGGGACAGTCACCCTTTCGCGCTGACTTCTCGTTTGTATTTGCTCCATTCAATATTGCGAATTATTGCACGGTACCGAACTATCGCAGCGATTGTCGTACGTGCCGTTGATTGACGTGTACAAAAGGTGAAAAGGTGTTCGAGTGAAAAATTCGATATTTTTTTAGGGCAAATATATGCGGACGTCGACAATACTTCTGCGCGGCGACATAATTATACGCAAATTTTTGTGACATTTTGCACAATCGGATCTTCGATAAAAGATACGTTTAAAAATTGCATATATAAATATACATCATTTTAAGGGCGCAAGTTTTAAATCCTCTCGTGCGGATTTTGCTTTTCGTAATGCTTCTCCGATATTTTGTAAACAGGTACAGGGCTTTTCGTAACGTCGATACCACGAGCACTGACATCTCTATAGAATTATAGACATACCTACTAAAACTTACAATTAATGTGTGTTGCTACCGTTACAGACGGAAGTTTGCCAGTCCGTCGTCCTCTTTCTACTTGTACCCTTTGCGAATCCCTATAATCTAGTACGCGTAACTAGTTCGAAACTTGGCGACTGCAGAATCGCTACTAATATATCTCCGCGATGCAAACTTATTTGACGGTCATCCGAGCCCTCTTGGCTGCCTCGGTATTTTAATAAAGACCGTATTTACGATCCATCTCAAAATCGCGAAATGCATCCCGTGTCAAGCGTTGTATCGTTGGAAAGTGAAATATTAAGAATCAGTCGAGGGGGAAACCGCTGAGGGCATTGTGATGTACAGATTTGCGGCATTACTGGGCACTACTAGGCATTACCAGGCACTTTTTGGGCATTAGTTTGAGCATTGGGCCTTGCTGGGGCATTATACAGTTAAAATAAGATAAAACAAGATGAATAAGATCAAACCAGATAAATAGGATAAAGTAATGTCCACTGGGCATTAGTGGGCATTGGTGTATGTATGTACAAGATTTTGATCAGCGGTTTCCCCCTCGGAATTAGTTTTACGATTTAAGAAAAGCGGGCGCTCTATTCTTCTTACGGATTAACTCGAGTTATATTTAACTGAAGAATTATTCACGCAACATCCGACGTCATTAATAATTGAACGATTATTGTATGAAATATCCCGCAATATTACGATTAACTAGTTATCAAATTCAGGTTGTTTTCACTTGAAATAAAGTGATCGATAAATGTGAACGACTAGGCTGTAAAAGATTAGAATTACGTTTGCGCGTTATGAGAAAAGCAATTAATAATTGACATCGTCATGATTTTAAATAAATTTGATAAATCTGATATATGGAATATTTCCTACTCCTCTTTTATCCGTTCGTTACAAGTGTCCTTTAGAAAAAATATCTCCGAGTATTATTGCACCAGTTTATATAATAATCCTGGAAAAAATATGGAGATGCCTTAATTCTATTAAAGAGATATCTGGGAACACCAGAAAAGAAAGCATCGAATAAAATCAATACGTTATAAATGGTATTAATTAACAATCTTTCTTTAACGCGTTGTATTAATATCAATTTATTTTTATTACACGCATAAAGACACGCGGGATACAGACTCTAATTCTGATCTTCGTTGGCAAAATACGTGCATCGCGAGAAAAATTGAATAAAAAATGTATATTTCAGAAATAACAACGTTTTATTCGCTGTACTTTTGCGCTTGTTCTTCTTTATCTTTCATTATTAATCTGACCCGAAAATTTTTAATTTAATTAAATGTATGCCAAACTTGTTCACAAATGATGTTATTAATATTTTGTATCCTCATAGTGTTCTCTTCAATTTCATTATTAAAAATCTTTCTCATGCAAAGAGCACTCGGTATAAAAAATATAAATTTCGTCCAATGGCGCACTATAGCATTAATACATTTCGGGATTAAATATTACTAATCTTTTCCCCCGTGTCCATTCTAATGCGACAGAACTGTGCCATCTACATGTAATATTCCGTCATCTCATCTTAACGTATAAATACATGCGTTTCACATTATTTACGATTCCGACGACGGTCTCGTAGGAGCCGTCGCTCGAGACCGAAAGAAAATTCATTCTTCCGCTCGCCGGCGGGGTTCTACGTGGCACGCAATTAAATCCAAGTTATCGTTCGACGTGCGCCACATTTCAAAAGATAATTATTGCGCGCGCACAGAACGACAATTAATTCCGGCGCGGCGCAAACGCAGATAAATATGGCTAAATAATACAGACAATATAGACAAATGAGTATTAAATGTGGATAAATTACTCACCCCGCGGTTGCTCCGCCGTCGCCCGGCGCCTCCTCCCAGGTCCTCCTCCCTCCCGCTCCTCCCTGCTACCGCCTCGTCGTCATTCCTTCGCGACACTCACTCCCGAAACAAGGTTAATTACGATCGCGCGCGCGCGCGCGTGTTAATCACCGGGACGATCGCGCGGCACTTTACACGGCACTCCCGATACCAAGCCGCAAGCGACACGCGCACGTAGCTACGCGATCGTTTCCTAAATTACGACGTACCCGCCCGACGTGCGCCGTACGCGCACGCGAAGTCTTGTAAATTAACGTATTAACGAGCGCGTCCGAAATGGCGGAGAGGGTCGCGCGCGGCCAACTTCACGCGTCAGGGTGCAAACCGTGCGAGCTCGTAAGAGCGGAACGCGTGTGCGCAGAAAATCGCGGTGCCAATCGCGAGAACAGCGGAAGGCTGATGGCAGAGAACAATCCGTAAACGCTTAAGACTGTCTCAGTCGTAGACGTAGGGCACGGCAGAGAGAAACGTAAGTCGTGAAAGGCTATTGTATACGACTTACGTTTCTCTCTGCCTTGCCCTACGTCTACGACTGAGACAGTCTTAGGGCCGTGGCACACAAATGGCCTTAAGCAATAAGACGTAAGCAGTAAACGAATTGACCAATCATAGTCGAGAATATATAATATGGCTGCCATAATTCTCGACTCAGCCGATCGCTCGTGATTGGCCGAGGCTGTGCCGTACCGCGATTTTCCGCGTACGCCGTTCCGCTCTCTATGAGTTTGCACCCTCGCACTCGCCGCTACGCCGGCGGAGATTGCATCTGTCTCTTACAAGCTGCGCCTTGAGTCACGGATACACACGCGCTCGCGTTCCAGACTCGCCATTACGTCGCGTCACGCGATAAGTGTACAAATATGCGAGTGCGAACAAACACACGGGTCGAAATTAAAGACAAATACTCGCGGCGCATGCAATATCCCCGGAAAAATGGCCGCCGCATCGCCGAGCGTCCCGACGCGGCCCGTACCCTCGGTCGAATGAACGTCGCGCGGAGCGCACGGTTTTCACGCCGAGTCGCCGCCGCGACGCCCGAATTTGTTCCGACAAGCGTGTCCCGCGCGCGAGCCTCGCGAGCGTAAAGAGACGAGAGTTAATCGCGCGTGTATTTACCGATCGCTACGCAACTCCCGACGTCCAACTCCGTCCTCCGCGTGTCCAGACGCTTCGTTGACGGCCATTTCGGAAAACCTGTCGACGGCAACTTCACCGATGCCGCGCGAGTCACTTCACGATCTAAAGCCCCGTCTGCAATGCGCTCCTCGCGTCTAGAAACATTCGATCTTGCAGCCAATACGTTTAAAAGATTTGCGCAAGTTGTACATCGTACGTGCATTGTCGACAAATTGTTTAAACGTTTTCGTTCACTCAGAATAGAACGTTTCTAGACGCAAAGGGTGCATTGTGGATCGCAATGGTCGAGAAGGCGAACGAAAGTATACTACTTCAACGATTCGCTCGTGCGGTCAAATTCTTTAGGTACATTCGTGAGATTCGATAAATGTAATTGTAGAGGAAAGTCCTCTATTATGAGGTAGGATTCTACTACGGGACAGCGGCGAACGGCAATTCACTTACTACACGCGCCGACGTACGTAGAGGAAAGTCCTCTATTGTGATTATTACACGATAGGTTTCTAATACGAGACAGCGTGAAGGATCCCGCTGTGAACGCCGCATAACAAGCGAGATCTACACGCGAATCCGAAGCTCAAGGCGCAACCGTGTCCGGAAAAATGTCGCGAGCGAACGCGACAACGCCATCGACTCTCGTACCTTGGAGAGAGTGAACCGCAGATACCTGAGACACCCGCCTCGATAAGGGAATACCATACGCTCGAGAGTCGCGGGGAACGGCCGGTCGTGCCAGCGGCTAATCGCCAATTGCGGGAAATAATGCGCGGCTCCGCGGTCTCCGAGCTCTCACCCCGACCGCGTCCCGAGGAGCAATGCGACGGCACGGCGCGCCGTTACGTACCCCGCCCCGCCCCGCCCCGCCTAGCCGCGCGCTCGAGCCGCGACCGCGCGCGAGGTAAACAAGGTCGCGCGTCGTAACAACAAACGACCCACCCCTCCCGAAAAAACGTTACGTATTCAACTGCGAAATATTATTCCGTTTTCTTCTACCTCTCCCTCAGTTCCTCACTTCGGCGAGGGAAGACACGTCGCGCGTTAAGCTGGCGCTCACACTGTGCGCGATTCGTAGTAAATTCGGCTCGTGTTTCGCGGACATTCGTTGGACGTTCGTTATCACTTGCCACACTGTTCGCGACGCGCAGTTTACCGTTCGTAGTGTGTCACCTGCCGCTTCGTTGGTGTCAACTTGGACAGCTCGCCACGTAAGTTTATATCTTCCGATCAGCAATGATCTTTGCGTCTAGAAACATTGTACTTTGTAGCCGAGACGTTTGAAAAATTTGTGCAAGTTAGATAAATCGTACACGGAAAGAATTGTCCGTTAAAATTTATCCGTAAAATCGTGGGACAACGCGGTATTTCGAAGAACTTTGTGTTTTTGGAGATTCTACTATATATTTGACGAGTAAAATGTACGATAAGATTTCACAAAAACTTTCCGAAGGTTCTTTAAAATACACACATTTTCAGGATAAATTGCCAAAGAAAATTCTCCCCGCGTTTACGCATTGCAGAATCGCGCGTTGTCGATCAGGCTTGAAGGATACGCACGCAAAATAATATACGCATGTTGTAATAAAACTTTTCTAAATTTTTGAGAAAAAACAATTAGAGCCCGCCATTGTAATAAATGAAGAAAACGAGACGTCGCATCAGACTCATGTTCTTCATTGACGAAATCGCTCGAATAAAATTAATATAATAATTTAAAACATTGCATGTAGCTTGCTCGTCGGTAACTTGAAAAAAGCCATTTACGTACGGCTAAAAAGTTAATACATAAGCGTGAACTTACCTTCTTTGAAAGCGTATCTCCTCCCCTCGCTGCTTCTTTCCTGCTTCTTGTTAATTCCTGTTCCTAAACAAGTCTCTTAAGTAAAAGAAAATATTTTCGTCGTACACTTGTCTCTTAGAACTTCGAATGAGATTATAATTTTCCAGCGTGGAAAAAATGAAAGGATTATCTTATTAAAAAAACAACGAAGAGTACAGTATTCCGGAAAGATATTTAAAATTCAAGACAAAAGTCTGTCGAAGGCTTTACACATTAGTTTATATCAGTGATCGCGGCAACGTGTAAACTTGCCGCGCGAACCCGAGGGACCGATATTAGTTGCGCAAGAATATAACTATCGTTTTATGCAAATATAAAACGGGGGATTGTATAATCGAGGATGCCGTAAATTCGATAATCCGTCATTTATCGATGCACCTACGAACTATTAGCTGCAAGCATAGACCGACGGCTTTTGGTATTTGTGCGTCTATCGCGATGCATTGTCCCTGGAGGAACGCTGTATCATCATCAGCGGGGAAAGGGTTGAAGGGAGCTTATTACTTTACGAGACTCTGACACGGGCGCACGTGTACTTACGCTGTGCACAATGCGCCGCGCATAGTCCGTGCGACGCGCCCCGAGGAGCTTGTCGCGCGACAACGTTGGAATTAACGGGACAGGTACAGAGCTTTCGCCTTTCTTCCTTTTTTTCTTAAATAAAAATATAATGGATTTTATTGCGAATGTATTTAAGTTACCGTACATTCTCTTAAGCTCGACAGCTCGATGATATTTACAATGCTTCCTTAATTAGCTATATATTACAAATAAATATCTCTGTTCACGCATACCACGGTCTCTCCCGCTCCCCGATCGAACGGGGCGGCTACACGACTCTCGGGAAAATGTAAAAGAAAAACAAACGTACTCCCCTATACAGAAAATCTGCCATTTGTTTCAACGTCGTGCCGTTAAAAGCGCGAAATTCTCTAGGAAATGATAAATTACAAATGATGTCGACATCGAGTACGCATTATACACACATATACGGGCGAGGCTATCGATAAACGTACTCCCTGTTGAAGGGAATTTAATTTCTAGATTATTAATCTGCATTATATTCCGAATGGCACGGCGCGCAGGATAATAGAGAAATATCGATAATTGCATGAATGGGACACGTTTGATTAAACGCCGTGACTTTCTCATATGGATTTTATAATAACTCATAAACCAAACAATTGGTTACAATTAATTAATTTACGACATGGACAATAATGTAACAAACATGCCGTAAAAGTTGCCGGTTAATCGAATTACCTTCTCCGTTCGCAAAAGTCATTTTCCTCGGATTAAGAAAAACCGTGCGGGCGCCCGCCGTGTTTCGGCTAACTTTTGCAACGCTGAAAACGTTTGTAAACGTTTGAAAGAGTACACCTGCCCCCTCGAAATATCTTCTAACACATAAATAAACTTGCTTTCAATAAAATTTATCTAAACACATAATACAACGCACAAATTCAATTACGACGTAACGCCTTGGCGACAGACACCGAAAATTGATTCGTCGTGAAATTAAGGCCACGCATACTTTCTCACCGCCTCTTTTACAGTCACTCTCTCCATCTACTTAATAATTAAGACACGACAATGCAAGTGCTAATACTATCATTTGTGCAGCGAGTACAATCGCGATCGTGCGCGTGTGTTTTTATAGGTAACACGTACAACACTACATCAGATCTGAGAAAAATAGACCCATCCATATCCGGTTCTAGCTAGGATTTCTCGTGTGACACGTTGAATTTGTACAAAACCGGCATGCCTCGCACAAACATGTCAAATGCACCGCGAATGGCCCACAACGTGGCCGCGCGAGCACCTCGAATTCCATTTGTTTCAACAGCATTTCGCAAATATTGTATTTACTCGTGTGCGAGTATCATTCGCAGCGTTGAACGGGATTTTTATCGAATGTCGATCCCTCCTCTATCTCGCTCCTAATTATCCCGGCTGTTTTCAATTGCGCCAAATTTCCCGCGATTCTATGCATTCTGATGAGAAAGAATTTAAAAACTTTTTTAAAAGCCACATTATACGACGGCGGAATTAAAAAGTGCTCTTCAAACTTTCGGATCTCGCTCGTTTCCGCAAATATTGAAAGTACGTGGCCCCCGATATAGTGCGACAGCGCTGGTACAATTCGTGGAGGGAAAATTAGTTTGACATACCTAGCTTCGTTACCTATCGGCTCGCTGTATACTCCGGGCGAGTTAGTTACACTGATTCTCTCTCAAAAACTTTCATTCTGGATGAGTCGCGATAACGTGTCAATTCCAATGTCTCTTTAACTTTCGGCGAGAGCGACACGTGCTTGTCAGATCGATCGCATTTCACAACGAAACACGCTCGCTTCTCCCTCTAGCACGCGCGCGAAGGAACGCACCGTGATTTTACCCGTCGTTCGAGCAGAAATTCTCTGCTTTGCTCGGACTCCTCTCGCGCCCGTGCTACCTTCCATTGCTATTCTCGCGAATCCGTAGATCGCGATTATTCGATGAAATTGATTTCAGGACGACGATAGTTGATTCGTTCCGCACGAGCGCCCTTTTTCGAAAACGTGCCGGGAAGATACGTTCGTGCCTTCTTCCCTCTCGCTATAAATGTCTTACCTTTGTCGTCTTTTTCCCCCGACTTCATCCAAACGCCACGTGTTGTCGAGAATCAGATCTTAGCTCGCGTACTCGAGTCGGAACAGCACACGCGCGGCCGTTCCAAAGGACAGCCTGCGAAGGATCTCGCCGGTTAATAAGGAGTATTTTTATTTCGTTCTCATCTCGCGACAAAACCGCGCAAAAATCGAATCAGTCTTGCGTGGCGGTATCGATACGGACTAGCGGATCGCATTCAACGATCGACTGAAGAGACTCTCCGGTGTATCGCGTCACGATCGGCTTTATCGTTCGATTCGCGATATCTCCGTGACGTGCGTGAAAGAGAACCGTCCTGGAAATCCTCTTCCGCGCGATCCCGCTCTTCCTCTTCCTTCAGCTCTTTCATAACATATTTCTCAAGTATCTTTCTTTCCCCCCGTCGTCCCCACGGCACTTGGTACTGATCTCTCGTAGTTGCTCGCTTCCGTAATCGTGATTATTGCGATCTCTCGCATCATCTTGCAAATGAAAAATATATTCTCTTCGGAGAAAGAAACGCCGCTTCACCTGTGTATCTCTCCTCTTCTCCCGCCCTTCGATATCCTCTTTCACTCCTCGACGCTCTTCTTTCTTCCCCTTTGATCGCTGCGGCCTCTTCTTCAGCCTTTCCCCGAGATCTCTTCGAAAATAAGGAATATATTCTCTCTGAAGCAAAGCACGATAAAAGCCGAATGGGCTGCCTCCTGTTCCCCGTGTTCTACGAGCGCCTTCCTCATCTCTCGCTCTCTCTCTCTCTCTCCTCTCCCCCCTCTCTCTCTCTCTCTCCATTCTTCTTCCTCAATTCTCTTTCTCAGTGTCCCACCCACTCTTGTTTCCCCATTTTCTATCTTTCGAAGATAAAAAATAATCTTGACTGAGACCAATTACGTGAAGTACCTCATAAGGAGAATAAGCGTCATTGGCATAATGGCAGAGAGATTTAGCGTTGAGGTACCGCTGAACATTGCGGTGCATTCCGTGTAGGGAGCACAGTGCGCCTGTAACAAACAAGACGATTTCGCCCTTCCTTTAATTCGGCCGCTTTATCGACCTTATTACTCGCTAATATGACTACTCGCCGAGACGATCATTCGCATAAATTCGTTCTTATTTTATTCGGCTCCGTACTTTATTTCCGAAATTAGATTGACACGAGGGAAACTTACTTTTTCGTTCCACGTCGAAATATTTTCATAGATCGCTAACCCTTTGAAGCATGGTGGTAACCCGCGTTACTTTTTGGCCATTTAAGTTCTGGTTAACGCATTTAGGTCGGGTTTTTTGCATTTTTGGGTTGTCTTAGCAATAAAAGAATATTTTAAAAAGTTGGACAGTTTTTAATATTTATTGTAAAAGTTTCATAAACAAACAAATATGAAAAAACAGCAATTTTTTTCAAAAAAATTTATTATTGGCCAAGTTTTTTAAGATTATTTCTTGAAAACTTTGTACAAAGGGGTTTTCGGGGCCGCTTATCACGAATCCGGTGTCAGATTTTAAAAATTCAAAATGACCGACCCAAAATGGCGGGTGCAAAGTACGTGAGTTTTTTAAGCTTTCAAGTATTTCAGCATTTTCGTTTGATTACGGTACTTAGAGACTCATCACGTCCGCGTCGTTAGCTCTGAGTAGTGCCAAGAATGAGTAAATCCTAAGTAATGATCAAATTTCAATTTTGCATCCGCCATTTCGCGCGTGCTATTTTTTATATTCTATAAGAATCCTCAACAGGAATTTAGATTTCATGGGTCCTAATAATATCTAAATAATGTTTCTTAGCATAGTTGAATTACGGTTGAATAATGTTATTCTTTTAAGTTTTGAATTCCGGCATCTTTTGAATTGTAAAAATCTGATAACGGATTCGTAATCAACGACCCCAAAAACCCTTGTATACAAAGTTTCTCAGAAAGTGGTTCAATAGAAAAATGTATGCTTCAAAGGGTTAAATTAGCAAAATATCCAAAATTGAAATATAACCTACTTGAAAATTTATCCAGAAAAAGAAATAAATTCCAAATTGATATCACGATTCGTGAAAGACGATCCAAATCAACGATCCAATGACCAATATGTAAGATTAAAATATTTTCGTGCGCGCCCATATAAATAGCGTTGCGATTACAATTATAAACGGAGCAATTACCGCGAGCCTGCAGCATTGATTTGCGATGCCAATGAAACGTGACGTAAAATAAAACGTACTCACCTTTAGCAGCGAGCTTGACATTCTGTCGAGGAAGTCCTTCGTGAATCGCGCTGTATCATCGCCACACTGACGGCGTACCGTATGATGAGAGCATTCCAAGTACTCCTGGAAGGCGCTGCGCAAACAATACCCAGACCATGTTCAAAGTCTCCCTTTTTAAATGGCCGAATGAAATGAGATGGGCGAATGAATAAACTTGGTTGTCGTGACAACGCGAGAGCGCAGAAATCGTTAACGATTCATAAAATCTTTCGAGGTGCACCACTTTTCTCCGTTGTCTTCCTAAAATACTGTTTTGCAAAACTGTAGGAAACTCGTAACTTGACACAGAATAAATTTCCATTCATTATCCCGCGATTCGCCTCTTTTTTTTCGCGGAATAACTTTTTCTCCCCCCGGAGGAGAGAGCGTCCGCGATAGTTTAATTGGATCACCGCGGAGAGACAAAATGACGCGAGGAATGTGTTTTTGCGGACCTGTTATCCAGTTTCGGGTCAGCATCATACTACTTACGTCCCCCCTTTCGCGAGGGATGCGCAAGTTCAAAAGCTGCAGTAGACCGTGGTAGAGATACGCTAATGACATTACACCCCTGTGTGTCTGTACAGGCATCAGCGTGAAACTTCCGACCTAAAGGACTGATTACACTCTTTTTGCGCGAGTCCTTTGAGCAACGCCCGTCGTTATTAATGCAGTTGTTTCGCCAGCGAGCTCTTAAGTGTTAAATTATCGCAGTCGACGGATTTTACGTCTTTGCGCTAATGCGAAACGCCGGAATTTCGAGTATTGCTTAAACCTATTTGTCCGCGTTTCGTACTTTGCCTCGCTCCGACGATCTTTCATGTTATAATCTTAACTCGATTTTTCCTTCGAGTCAACATCCACCTGGAGAAAAAGGCTGATCAATCCCCGGGAGATGCACTTTAAACGCGAGGGCGCGACGCATTGAGAATTTAATGTGATACTTGACGTTTCCTTATGTTTTATTCCAACTCGATTTTCGTAAATTATTAAGTATTGTAGTGGCTACAAATTGAAACTTTTTAAAACCGTTATAAACTCCAGCAACTTTTAACGGAATAGCATTCAATCTTGATTTGATACAGTTATCCGAGTAAATGAATATTAATATAGCGAATTATTGTATTTTATTATCTAAACTTATGTCGCTTACAAGTGCGCAGAATATATTTGTTCGTTGCATTTGTTTAAATAAATTGCAATAACGCGCATTCATTCGTTTTAACAAAACAAATGTTACACCGCTACATTTTATTCTCACACGGAAAAGTTAATAAAGCATATTCTGGTAAAACGGTCGAAGGTCCACATTTTGAAAAGTGGCTAGGTCAAATTGACTTGCGCTTTGAGTTCTAAGGTTTACCTCCGCGTTGCCAAACTAACAAACTTTCGCGGATAAGCAAATGGACCATGAGTTGCATCCTTTGCAAAGATGTAGAAATTCTGGTCAAGCGTACGTATAGATTTGATTTACGACATAAATTTTCTAACACAACACATTAATCATTCTATTTACAATATAATAAAAACGATTATCCCGAAGAAAAATGGTGCCATCTATAATTCTACGCGTCTCAATCAGGGTTGGCTGGAAAAATCCAGGGGGTGGAAAAAACCATAGTAAATTCCGGTTTTTACCGTTCCGGACTTTATTCAATGGAACAAATTGAGAAAAATTAAAAAATAACTAATACTTAATTAAAATACATTTATATAAATATTAGTCATTTTTATAGTCTTTATGAAAAAAGATGTTTGTTTTAATTACTAAATCACAGATATTAATCACTATTTTAAAAAGAAACCAATATAAAGTTTTTTAATTAAAAAAACGTTTTATTGAAATTAATACATATTTTTAAAACGAGAACTTCGGAGATACTAAATTTTATATTAATTTTTAGTTTATGCGGGGAAACAATACTTTTTTGCAGTGCTTTTTAAAAATTTTCTACTTATCTTATCGTTTTTAATAGAAAAGGCCAGTTTTTGCCGGTTTTTTTTCCGGAAAATACCGGTTTTTACCACTGGCATGGACTTTATCCAAGAAATGTGGAATTTTTCCAACCCTGGTCTCAATGATTTCCGGATTATATCATTGAAATAATTAATAGCGCGACAACTGTTTTTCTTCCGCTTTGATTTGAATGAATCTCATTTATATCTTGAGGAAACTTTTCTTCGACTCACCAGCAAAGGGACTTGAGGTCTTGCTGTCCCAATGAGCGGTTGGCCATTATCTCTTGAGTCGTCTTCTGATACGACTTGTAACACAACTCGTATTCGGCTTTGGATTTTTGCATGCATGGCGCGTGCTTCAAGAATTCTGCGAACAGAAAATTACATTCCCGCTATTGGACAATCACGTATGTGTACGAGCAGCATTTGCGGATATCGATAATGAAATTCCAAAGTCAATCACGCAGACTTGACAAGTTGCGAAATATATAATTTAATATTAGTAAAAGCGAAGAATACGTACGTACGCGCGCGTATTAATTCTCTAGAACGTAGTCGTTTCAATTGGTAACAATACAATATAAATAAAGTCACAATCGCTCTGCTTTAGAAAACATTGTGGATAATTGCGTCATTTCGCCGATAAAAATTTCAGTCGATTAAGATTCAACCGAAGTCTCTCGATTCTATTCTTAGAAAAACAACTCAAGCTGTTTACGAGCGCGGCCTATAATTACAAAAGTATATACGCGTAGACGATTGACTGACGCACTAGTCTCGTCGTGTTTCGAGATGATAGTTTTGAATACGAAGGCCGCTTTCCCGGCTCTTGTTTACGATAGGCGAGCCGTACATTACGCGACTGGTACACGGCATGAGGAATCGATATTACTCTCCTTGCTAACGATTCATTATGTTACAGTGCCTCTCTCCAGCGGAGGAGAGTACATTATGAAGAGTCATGCCTGCTCGATCGACCCACGAACAATCTACGCGATATTCCCGTAATCTCGAGAGTGCCGGATGCATTATTGAGTCTGGAGTGCTATCTCCGACTGGAGACCGACAGTTTGGAATTGCATTGATGCCTGCCGCTCGCCCAATTGGCAAACGGACTGCCGGGCTTTGTCGACTGGCGGATGACTTTGCACGTCGTTATTTCTCTCTACGAGAGTAACGTCTACGCGGAATTACAGTGGCTGCAATATTTTCATGTCTTGCCCTCGAAACAATCGAATCTCTAATTATAAAATATCGTACCCCTTCAAACCCCTCGTCGAAAAGTCAGCTGCCTAACTTTTCCGCCGGGACGAGTGTCTCCACTTGTCGATGCCTCAATTTTCTCTTTAAGGGGATCCTAAAGCCGTCTGTTTTATCGACATTCTTTGTTAGAAGTAATCTTTTAATTGGCTTTATAGAAATGCGAAACTCTTTTACGGAATTACAGTACACAGCAAAATCAAGACTATGCTGGTCGACTTTATATAAAAAAAATTTTTTTAATTAAAAATTTTACTAATTTTTGGTACACTTGACGACATTATTTGCTTGCTACAAGCATTCTACAATAAATATGTACAAAATGAGACCAGCATACTCTAGGGACAACATAAGAACAATATCGCGCAATTAGAACTAATTGTAAGATTAGTAGCCTAGAAAAAAAAAGATTACTTCTAATAAACGCAAGTCTAGAAATCCAAGTCTAAAAGAAGAGTAAAAAGAGCAGCAGGCTTTTTCGAGAGAGGTCGCTGCCAAACGTCTGTCAGATTGTCAGCGAAGCCATGGTGTTGACGGTGCTGGAATTCGATCCAAAATCTCGGTCTGAGCAATACGTAGTTAATAAAATCGCTGCTTTTTCGTAAAAGTTACAAATTGATTGGCTATAAATATCTCGGACCGAGTAGAGCTTGGAATTAAAAATGTCGATAATTGACGTTTTTAATTCCGTCTCCTATCTTGTCGATACACTGATCGAGTTCACCAGCGGCTTTAGGATCCCCTTAGCTTTGTCCTCTATCAATTTAAATTACAAAGTGCTCGAGATGTTTCCAATGCGTAAGAAGAACGCACGAAAATATAAAAATGCGCTAAAGAAACCGATTCGGGTTTTCTATAATCTCATATCAGTACGATCGCACGAAGCAATTTCGTAAATATTTAAAATGTCTTTCCTCTCCTATACAGAAATATTCTCAATTGGCAGCAATTATGATTGTATATTGGAGACGCAAATGTCTAATCGATTCGATAATTTAAACAAGAGCACTTACCGTCCTGGTACGGGCCGTCTTGGCACAGCTCCATGATGGCCATGTTGGTGCCGGTGTAGAGAGCGTTGAAGTGCTCCCGTTGCTTCTCCTTCATGCAATTCATCGTGTATCTTTTGATGCATTTCATACCTGCCTCGAGATCTCTGCAACAAAAACGAGAAATCACCCGTTACGTATGTACACCTTATTAGTTACAAATTTTATCAATTTAAAGATTAATTAAGAAAGTGCCAAGTTAGAAAATGCACATCAAGATTATATTCGTGACGGTTTTCACGAAAGAATTATTACAGAATAATACACCGTCAGAGCTCTCCTGTTTTCAGAAATTTGTTTACGATACATTTATTTTCTCATCGGACAAAATAATAATCTACACATTCTACCGGATAAAATAATAATCGATAAACATCCGAGCAGTGTTATTTTTAACTAACACGCAAGATGTTCTAATTTGAAACCTTTTTTCCGAATTGCTTCCGGGTCGAACGATGTGCATGTCCTTCCCAATTTAATTGAATGACAGGAGATTCAAAGACACGATCCTCTCTCAAGAATCAAGTCAGAGACATGCGAGAAATAGAACTCGTGCCGTGTCTCGAGGCAGAGCTTCCTCGGTCGAATCGCGATTATAAATATGATGTCACAAATATCAAATTGACTTTCAAGATCCATCTATTGAACCGTATCACTTCTCAAGAAGTTTCCAGCTGAATTGCTCAGCACAAACGCGGCTATAAATACGAACCAATATCGTGCTATATCTTGGATATGAAGCCGCATCGAAACACTGAGAGCAAATCGATATTTGCGCAACGTGTAGAAATTTTCCGACTGTTTCGACATGCCGAGTAATAGAGGCACACGCATACCTATATATATGCACGATGTGCGCGTCTTATCTAGAGCGACTTACATTCGTCGCGTCAAACAAACGAGCAAACGTAGAAATATCGCGGCGCGATGGCGCGCAATATTGTCTTGATAGCGCAATTTTGATAGCACCGGTAGTTTTACCGGAACTGCGAAGGAAACGCGCGCGTGCGCGATGCGGGGCATCGTGTTTAATAATTTGTCATATCGGCTACGACCTGTCGGGCACGCACGGGCACGGACGGAAACCAGGCTTGAATGAAATTTAAAGTTCCATGAAATGGGCCGAATTTCCTCTCGGCACGGCGCTATCGTCGGCGCGGCTAAATTGCAGCCGTAATAAGATTCTTCGTCGAATACTGGGACTGGAAATATCGCGCGAAATATCCGGCAGCTTGCATGCAATCATCCACTCAATTACATACGTACCGCGCCGACTCGACTCGACGGGCGCGAGAGAGGATTCGAGCGATCGAGCATCGGTCGTTGCGATAAGCCGGAGCGGAGACCTCGATACGATCGCGATTTCGGACGGATATAATAGACCGAGGCCAGACGAACGTATACGTCGGATTATTATTCTCGGATCAATTTTCAATTTTGCGAGAGAAATCGACGAATCGCCCCTCTAGAGGATTCACACCAATTCACAATCGTTTAACGATAAACTACTCGCGCGGATTAATATTTCGCACGCCTAAGGCACGCGCCAGGCCGGAATCGACGCGACTACAAATTTCAAACTTGCGTGACGAAAATTAAAAAAAAACATAATTCCGTGCGATTATAAAATCACCAAGTAAACACTTCTTTATTATACCTCCTTATCTTTTCCCCCGCCCCGACGTCACAATTAGCGCGATTAAGCTCCGCAGAGAGTTCCGGCGACAGCGCGCGTTCCGGCACGTTCTTAAAATTGATACGAAGTGCAACGAGAGAGAGAAACGACCGAGCATTTTTCTCACGGCGAAAAATTTCCCGTGGCGCGAGGAAGAAAGCGAGGAAGAAGACCCCCGTCACGAAATTCTCCGCGAAACGGAACGTCAGCGTAACCCGCACCGACGTCTTCCCCTCATGGAACATGTAAAGACGGCGAATAACAACGGACGTTTTCCGCTTAAAGAGATCGCCCGTGCGGGCACAGAGAGAGGAAGAAAACTCACGGGCATAGTTTGTTGATATCCTCCTTTTTCGTGGCGAAACTCAGGTCGCTGTTGCTGATTCTCTCGAGGGGCCTGGCGCACCTCACCAGCTCCTCGTGTCCGCACTCTTCACCTCGGCAGCTAGCGAGCACTGAAACAGAAACGCGATAATCGGGTTAGCTAACAACAGAGAGAGAGAAAAAGAGAGAGGTATATATATATACATATATATATGTATACATAGAGAGAGAGACGTGGTCGATCTGCGAAACGTAAGAGGCAACAGGGACTCGATACGTCGGCCCCATCGATAACAACGTTATTAGTAAGGGAATCGCAAAGAGCAGCGCTGTTTCTCGAATTCGATTAAGCGCGCGACGAGCACGCGGAATCGATGTTGCCGTTGCGGCGTGATTGCAGCGGAAATATCAAACAAGTTTAATTGACGTGGAAACAATGCAGATTGCACCTAGAACTTCATGCTCGAACGGATCCCCGATATTCTCTCTCATTTCGATGGAATTGTCGTCTCGCGAGATATCGTACGCGTCCGTCCAGCGAGACGTTACTCTTAAGCTTTTAGTATATTACGTTGAAAAGTAATCCCATTACTCTACTGTTTGACGAATCTTTATTAGGAACTGGAAATCTTGGATTAAAAATTACAAGAGAACAAATCAGAGAAATATCGCACATATTTCCTCAAGGTTTCATTCGCTAAAACCACATTTTTCCTAATCTCCATCCGCCCGTCTTCTCTATCTCTCATCTTTTTACCTATCTATCATCTGTTATAATGATTCCGAGCTCGCTAATCTTTTGTGTCTGAATTTTGAAAATGAAATTACGGCCGCGGCGGCGGCAGCAGCGGCGGGCACACATATAAGACGCGCTCGCGTTGCTCGCGTGCGAGTATCGGTGGTCACACGCGAATTCGGGATGCAGGATAAAAAACACAGGAAATGCATTCGCCGTCCGGACTAATGATGACGAATGGCGCGCGATATTATCACGGCGTCATGTGCCGTTGGCGAAAAACCATTCGTTCATATTAGGAAGTTGATTTGGATTTAATGGGGGAGCATCGTTTGCCAGTTTAACCGCGCTTTCGTCCTGCTTTTCATTCCAACTTTTGGGAATTCATTACCAATTACGCCGTGTGCACGGTCGGCGTGTGTTATATACACGTACATATCACCCGATGCCTAAGGAAACGCTAATAATTTCGACGCGGGGAACGGTTTTGCAAATTTTAAGTCGATTTATCCCGCGAGCAAAAATTTCGGGAAGGGTCAGCGTCACCGACGTTTTAACATCCAATATTAAGGGAACGCTGTCGGTTTGCACACAAAAGCTACATAATTTGTATATTACACGAATTGTCAGTTCTAGGAGCAAAAGGTACAAAAGTGCAGAGTCACTCCAGCATCCCCTTAAATGCCTCGATAGTAAATCGCAAGCTGAAATATTTAATGCTTCCGCCAATTCTTTAAGCGTTTGACGTTGATCTTCGTTAAGCAATGCTTCCAATTCTTCGTCTTCAAACTTTATCGGTTGGCCAGGGCGCTCCTTGTCTTTTAAATCAAAATCTTCACTTTTAACTGGTCCAAACCAGTACTCGCAAGTTGAAATCGATGGAGCATAACCCCCCATAAGCTTCGGACAGCTAACGAAGACTCTCAGCTGCCGATTTCTTCAAATGGAAACAAAAAAGTAACGCTTCCCGCAAATTGCGTTTCGTTGGCACAAAACTCGACATATACTGATTCTTGAAGTCTAACGACAGAGCATTCATATGAAGTTGGCTTCCGTATGGACCGATGCTCGGTGCATCAGGTGCTCGCATTACGCCGTCTCTTGTAAATCCTTTAAAGTTAAGTTTAGTGCACAATACAAAAAGAAAGTTCGTGAGTCTGTGAAAGGGAGTGAACTTTAATTCGTCCAATTGCACTCGGGAATGTCATGCCACGAAAATGATCGGCGCCTCGAAATGAAGAACAGGCCGGCTCTAAATTGATCAAAGAATCCGTCATTAGATCAAAGTCGGGGATGCCGGAGAATTCTGTACAAATATTCGAGGAGCAAGGGTAAAGGAGCATCGTACCCGGCTTTTAAAGGGGAGGGTGCGAATCTCGGGAATATCCTCCGCGAAATTATTAAGCACTTTGAAGAGAGCTTTACACTTGCCTCGTAATAAACAAGCTATTGTAAGGGAAGGGTAAGGTAGGAACGGGGTCAAGATCGACTTTTCTCTCGATACCACCAAACGAACTTATAACTTCCGCTCGAAACCGATTACCTGCAAGTGCCACTTTCCAGGTAATAAAAGAGAACAGGCAGCAGGACCGCTGCTCTTCGTCTCTCTGCGCAACACCTGCAACTTCTCTTCCCCCTCCCCCCCCCCTCCGCCATCTTCCATCCCGTGTATGTTTGCTCTAATATAGAGTTTCTGTATACGCGTGATGGCGTTGCTAATGGAAAGTAACGCCACGTCTCGCCGTCGTGATGAAAAAGCAAAATAAATGGGCGTTATATTCAAAGCCCGACGGGAATGTTCAAACTTCCCCCTTTGTCGATATGTCTTGCAAATTATTCGAAATATCAAAATGTTTTATGCAGGAGGTCTTATTTAATTTGAGACGTCGGCGGGGCGAAATAGAAAGCGATATCGGCGTAACGCCAGAAAACGAGAATGTGCGAATTAGCAATTTAGCAATTTAGACTGTACTTCAGTAAAATAGAAGTCTTGGAAAAACTTGCGGCCAACTTTTTTTCCACAGTCACTTTTTCGAGACTACCCGAACCGGCCCTTTTAGAAATGCTCGCTTACAGTAACTCGAAATGGATTATTCGTTCGTGTAATACAGATATCGAATAATCTTTGCAATCTATACAACGTATTTGTAAACACGGCATGCATTCAGATAAACATTGCAAATTAATGTTTGTAGTTGCTGCTGATGCTACATCGTTACCAAGACATGAGATTGCTAAAACATACGACGATAAATATGATTCTCGTCTTGTTTGAAGAGAAAACTTGCATATTCCTTTATTTAAATGTGCCGTAAACAGGATAAAGCCCCGAGAAAGAGAAAAATTATCCGTAGAAAAATTGACTCGATTAAAGAATTTACTCTCAAAAATTCAGTAACAGTGCCGAGTTAGGACACGTCAGCTACAACGACTAGCTCGCGACGCTCGTAAAATATTTGCGCGATAAACAATAAATAAATATATAAATCTTCAACTGGGACGAATTGTCCCGTTAGACGCGGAGGAATTGAAAGAAACACGCGAGGTCTCTTTTCAATCCCTCCAAGTCTAACGGGACAATCCGCCCCGGATTTATATATTTATTTATTGTTTCGCGTACAAGCTGCAAGTCTCTTTACCGAGTAAACTCTCGCCGGGCTGCATTTGGGAGAAAGCGCGAGTCCCGCGGGAGGAAGGAAGGTACGGTACAGGATGCGTCAACAGTCGCGTATCAACGGTCGCGTACGCGTGTATCATTACGCATCGATTTGGCAATGCGTGCGACAAACTACGCGAGTAAATCCCTCGTGCGGCGCCCCGACGACCGACGTCATTAAATTTAATTACAAACTATCGAAATTATTGGAGAGTTCGTCGCGGGCCGACGACTATCGCGGTAACGACCGAACGATTCGACGAGCCGCCCGCGAAACTGGCCGCGGCCTATATAGCGGCGCAATTGTTTTGCAAACCGAATACAACAATGGGACGACGGGCGGCGTCTGCCCGTGATAAATCTGTCCTTCGATGATTAAACAAATAGGTCCGGCTCCAGCGCGATTTGCCCCAACGATTTATGCAGTTGCCGATTGGAATAACACGGCGATACGTTGTCTCGAAATATCTCTCGAAACTCGTAACTTTTTTCCAGAGATACGTACGAGATTGTGAATCTTCATTTAAAAACGTCGCGCTTCAAAACATCCAGTGTAAATAATAAAAACATTCTCCTAATTTGCAAAATGGGCTACGGTAATTACAGTAATTTATTAACATTTATCTCGGCGACGGATAAATGAATAAAAATATAAACATCCTTTTCCGAGACGGTCATTCCTCTATCGTAACCCATTTTCCCGTCTCCGATCGCGTTTCGTTCTCTTCTACTTGCTTTCGCCGCTCGGCTAAGATATCACTCGTGAAAAGAATACCGGCTTATGGCAGCGCAGAAGAGTCCGGTGTGTAATTCTATTCGGCAGCAGCAATTTTCCGGGATGAGTCTACGGGACGTGTCGATTGATTATTCAGAATTATACGAATCGCGGCAATTCCAATTTTAATCGCGTCTAATAACGGCTTCGATTAGTAATCGACTCACATGTTCCACGATAATTGCGATCGTAATTAAATCGGTAATTAACATTTTTAGTACATCCCTCCGCGCAACTATGTACTTCTCTTTAATTCGATTCGTGTCGCATAATTAGTCTCATGGAAGTCGTTGCGATATCATGAAGAGTCCTGTTACCGCTTTTCGTCACGGGCGCGCTTCGGAAAGCGGTCTCTCGCGTGTAGCCTCAGATTTAATTTCAAGTCATAAACAACCGATTTTACGTCAGCAGTTCTTTGTTGGGAAAGAGCATCACATATTTATGACTTCTTTTCAATGCATCGCGCGCCCTTCTATTTTTTTCGAAACATCCGGCAGGAATTCGCCGTGTCGATCATAAAATCGAACCGTCGGACGTTTTGGTCGGTGAACGGTCAATGCGCGCATGCGGCTCATCTTAATGCCCGCGAGCAGGCAGACACGCATACACGCAGCTGCAGCAGGAAGAGGTTGGTTAGGGCTCGTATTTATAACGAGGCGAGATGGGACCATCGTACGATGCCGGCACAACCAATCGCGAGCCAACCCGTAGGTTGGCCTTGCCGCGACTGCTAAACGCGCGTGCGAATACAACGCGTGTGTCACTCGCTCGCTCGTTCGTTCGCTCACGCGTTCACGCAAGTGTCAAATCGACATGACGAGACATCACGCGCTCAAGCTCGTGCGACGCGTTTTCCGCGAACGAACGCCGATGGTCTCGCGAGGACTTAAAAAAAAATTCTTACTCCGAAATCCTCGCGAAATCAATTTCCATCTCGAGACCTTTTCCCCCAAAGAGAAGGGTG